TAAAAGAATATAATAGTAATTAATAAAGAAAATATATTATAATTATATATAAAATATTTGATTATATTTTATATTAATACAAGAGTATATATTATAAAAAAAATATTTAATAAGGATAATATATTAAATATTATATTAATTATATATTAAATAGTCATTTCATTAATACGGTATATATTAAAAAATAATAAAAAAATTATATTAATCGCGAAATTAATGATAAAATAAATAATCAATTTCAGAAATGTGAAAATTTATAAATTCATTTCTATTTGAGCTTTAAATTTTTTTAATTAATTAATTATATTATTTGTGTATGTTAACGGCAATGTGTTATTTTTTCAACTTTTACTGGAAATATATAACATCATATTTGGAATAACTACCTCATGAATTTCAGATAATTTTACCAAATTTTGAACTTAATATAATTTATATTAACGAAGTTCGTTTTTTTAAAAAAAAATGATGAATGACGTTCCTTTTATTTTATTTTTGACGAACTTTTAACATGAACGCCTTCCTTTTTTTGAAGAAAGTGTTCGTTTTTTACGTTCGTTCAATTTTAGAAAATCTTCATATTTTTATTCATAAAATAAAAAATATTAATATTATATTAATCCAATTTTTTTAAGAAAAAATGGTTATTTTTTAATAAGCTATTCCCTTTATCACATTGAATTTTTTAACTAGCCACTATTTTTGTCTTACAGTATAGTTTATTAATTTGTTGAACTTATTCAAGAATGAACATAAAATAGGATTAATAATTTTAGGGATTTTTAAATCTTATTGAGAATTCAATGATAATATAATTGCACCTTTTTTATATCAATATTCTCTTTCTATCCCAAAATATTCATTTTAGCTTTTGTAAACAATATTAAAAATAATAATATATTATGTCATAAAAATAATATATGTATTTTAACACTTGTTTCATAAATAATATTGTATGGATTGCGTATATAATAAGATTACACATTTGTATTGCGATATATAAATATGATTAAACCATTGTATGGAAAACTATTAAAAATGAGAAGGTGGTTTAGTGCATGTTTACTATATATATAAAATAACAGTGACGAAACAATATGATATAGTATATGTAACAAAAATTTAATAATTATAAAATTTTGAATTGACATATAACACTTCTGGCAAACCCGACTATAAATACTTGGATCAATAGTATTGTTATCCTTTATTGGCATTATAAAACAATTTAGTTAGACAATGGAAGAAAAATTACTGTGATTTGATATTTTGGAATATAAAAATTTGGATATTTTATCCAAATATTCTATAGTGGTAAAATAACCTCCACAGTAAAGTATTAAATTTTCATTTATTTTTTCGTCTATTATGCAATATATTTTTTTCTTTCCGTGGCTTTTTAGCTATTATCTAATTGGATTAATTTCAAGTCTATATCCTGTTCTATAGTTTTTATGGTGTCAATAAAGAGATAAGTATTTGGATGTGAATAAGGAATCTATGTATTCCTTTAATGAGCGCTGAAACCCTTCTACATGATTATTCGTCCTTACGCCCCAGTTTTTATGGTGTCAATAAAGAGATAAGTATTTGGATGTGAATAAGGAATCTATGTATTCCTTTAATGAGCGCTGAAACCCTTCTACATGATTATTCGTCCTTACGCCCCACATTTGATATTTAAATTTTGCATTATGATTTATCCAAGTATTTTCAAAGTAGTTTAAAAAATCATGAATTTAATTTATCTTAAAAACTTCAGCTTGTCGTCTCAGATTGTTAATTATATATGGCACATCCCTTTCTAACAAAAAAGGAATGACCATTATAATTCCAAAAAATTTATTTATATTATTATTTTGTCTGAATAGTCGGGTTAGTTGACTTTCTTGAATGCCCCTTATAACCCCCTGACAGAAATGGAAATAACAGCCCTTAATAATTATAGAGCGAAAAACCGCTTTGCTAAATATACGCCAATTTCTAAATCAATATTGCAAATCAAGGGGAAAAAATAACCCCAAAGATAAACAATAACTTTTAAATAATGAAAACATATTTAAATAAGTATTTTTATATTTATCTGGCAATTAAATGTGCACAAATAATTAGAGCATGATTAATTAAAATAGAATAAAATTGTTTAATTAATTTAAGCGAGGCTTTAAAAGTACCGTCTAAAAAAAAAATTTCAGCCAAACAAAGGCGTGATAAAAGTTTATGAGTTGTAAAAATAAATAATTTGTTATAGTCACTCTTAAAAAATAAAAATTTTCTCTTATCAAATGTAAATTTGTGTTCTTCGCGTAAAATTATATCATAATTATTAAGAGGAATAAATTTAATTCATGATTTTTTAAACTACTTTGAAAATACTTGGATAAATCATAATGCAAAATTTAAATATCAAATGTGGGGCGTAAGGACGAATAATCATGTAGAAGGGTTTCATAGCTCATTAAAGGAAATTGCATAATAGACGAAAAAATAAATGAAAATTTAATACTTTAGTGTGGAGGTTATTTTACCACTATAGAATATTTGGTCAAAAATATCAAATCACAGTAATTTTTCTTCCATTGTCTAACTAAATTGTTTTATAATGCCCATAAAGGATAACATTACAATTGATCCAAGTATTTATAGTTGGGTTTGCCAGAATTGTTATATGTCAATTTCAAAATTTTATAGTTATTAAATTTTTGTTACACATACTATATCATATTGTTTCGTCACTGTTATTTTATATATATAGTAAACATGCACTAAACCTCCTTTTCATTTTTAATAGTTTTCCATACAATGGTTTAATCATATTTATATATCGCAATACAAATGTGTAATCATATTATATTTGCAATCCATACAATATTATTTATGAAACAAGTGTTAAAATACATATATAATTTTTATGCCATAATACATTATTATTTTTAATATTGTTTACAAAAGCTAAAATGAATATTTTGGGATAGAACTTAGAGAATATTAATATACAAAAGGTGCAATTATATTATCATTGAACTCTCAATAAGATTTAAATATCTCTAAAATTATTAATCCTATTTTATCTTCATTTTTGAATAAGTTCAATTTTAAATCTGACCAGGTAAAAGCGAGCCACATAAATTATATAAATAGAATTTTGAAAGTCAGACTTTTGAATAGTTAAGAAAGGCAGAAGATATTAAGTATTTTATATCTATGTATATAATATTTAATGATTTTTACTTTATGTATCTATTATAATAATCTTCATAATTTAATAATGAAACAAAACAGTATAAAATAAATTATTAACAGGATACTGTAGTTTATATTATATAAAATAATAAATATTACAATCAAGTTCTTTAAATTAGAACTTGAAAATTTTGAAACTGATATAACTTTTAGGACACATTTTACATTTGGTAAGGATAGAATTAGTTTATTGAAGATATGATGTTACTCTAAGTATTTATTATATTTGAGCCATGGTAATTTCAGAATCAGATGATGGTAATGAAATAACAACGTCCATGCTTACGCTAATCTATAAATAATTCAAATTAATCAACTATACTGTAAGACAAAAATAATAGCTGGTTAAAAAATTCAATGTGATAAAGGGAATAGCTTATTAAAAAATAACCATTTTTCTTAATTTGAATTAATATTTTTTATTTTCAAATGAATAAAAATGAGTCTTCTAAAATTGAACGAACTAGTCTATTTCTTATGTTTGACTGTGTTTTTCCAAAATAAGATCATATTCTTACTGAGTTTGCACTTATTGGGGGGGGGGGCAAGTACAAGCCCCTTTACACCAGATTAATGGGAAAATATTTGAATACCTTCCCAAATAGCACGATATTTACAAACACTTTTTTACACCTATATTCAGTTAGATTAATCATTACTGGGTCTAAATTTAGATTTTAAAATTTGCATGGAAAGGCCGTTGAAAGTTCAAGATAGGCAGGCTTTGCAAAGATAACCTGGGTCCGAGGATTTTCTACAATAAAAACTAAATTAAGAATATTCCCATCGGCAATAAGAGTGGAAATAGAGATTTAAGTAATAACCTACAAAAGTATCTATAGAAATATCTTAAAGAGCTAAAAGATAAACTTCAAATATTTATATAGATGTATTGTAAACCTATTTAATAATACAATCATTAAAAATTCATATAAATAACTTAATATATATTTTATGAGATTACAAAATAAAAGCTCCTTAATTTTTTATAAAATATTTTACTACATAATATCTAAATAATCATTAGATATTATTAATGAAAATGAGTTATCAAATTAATTTTAATTCAAATTATAAATTTTATTAATATAATATTTAATTTATAATTAATTTAGCAATCTTTATTTATATTTTATTATTTGTCTAATCTGTTACATCATTTCAAAATAATACTAATAATATAATCGCTTCAAATATATAAGTTGCCATTTTAGGTCATTGGACTTTTTTCATAAAGGTGGACCCTAACCATAATAATTTTAAAAATTTAATTTACGTATAAAAATATTAATTAACTTTAAAAATTTTAAAACACATGCCATGAATTTATATAATAATATTATTTTTTACTAGACAAATTTGAATTTTTTTTATAGAAATAGGAAAAAATATATTTCTTTTTACTTAAATTTTCCAAATTTTGAGCAAAAATCTTTTTTTAAAAAAAAGTGATTTCATCTTGAAAAACTTTTTGTGCATAAAAATTATAAAATATTTTTTACATCTAGTAAAATTTGATCAAAAATCTTTCTTCTCTGAATTTTTTTTATGGTGATTGAAAATCTTTCTATATCATTTATACTTAGTCTTCTGTAAATGAGGGGAAAATTTTAAGAGCAAGAAAGGGAAACCACAAACTATTTTTGGAGTTAAAATGGTAATGATCAAAAATAGCCTACATCAATATTTCTCCATTTTTGCGAGTCAAACCCCTAATTTACATATCTAGAGCTCTTTAAATTTTTTAATATCTTTAGGCAACACATCAAAATTAAAACCATCTATTACAACTGTTCATAAAGCGAAGAAACGTATTAAAAAACCTATAGCCAAGTTTGGTAGAGGTGTAAATTATGATCCATTAGATGTTTCAGATCAAAATGACTATGTTTTACCTAAATTGCCAATCAAAAAGCATAATAAAAATATGTTAAAAGCCAGCGATAATTCTGAAGATGAAAAACCTCACGAAAGGGCACATGAATCTTATAGTGAATCATCAAATTCTATTTATTCGGATATAAATCATGACTCTAGTGAAGTGGATTTAGTTTTATCTAATGAAAATATTCGCTTTGAGCCAAATCATAAAAATTTTAACATAAAATCAACTAAGACAACACCTAAATTAAGGACAGTAACACTTAAGTCTCCCAAATGCAAACGTTCTACACCACTTAACATTCAGAAAGACAGCAGCAAAGGTTCCCCTTTAAATACAACTGATAGTGAACAAACCCCTTCCAAATCTTCAAAGAAACGTAAAATTCCGTCTATGCCCGTTAAAAGACTTAAAACAAAGTCATTTCCTAAACACAAAAGTTCTACTTCTGGTAGCTTTCAGAAAGATGATGGTAAAAGTCCACATACAAGTGAAAGTGACCAAACTATTTCCACATCTTTTAGGAAATATATAACTCCTTCTGTCCCAATTAAAAGACTTAAAAAAAATTCAAACAAAAACAAACTTCTTTCATCGACTGATAAGAAATCAAGCAAAGACAAAAAACTTCTTTCATCCGCAGATCAATCTCAAGGGCTCTACACTGATTTAGATGAACTAATCGGTTTTTAAATTTAAATTAATAACGATATTTTGATCTCTTCTTTAATTCTTAACTGTATAATTTTAATACGATTTAATTTATCGTTATATATTTTTGTTATTAGATCTAATTTAGACAATTAAAACTATATTATATATAAAATTGTTATCTATTATATGAATATATATCATTTTTTTCAATAATATTATTTGAATGAATTTGATATAATTATAATAAACTAGTAGAAAGCTCGTCATAAATAACGGGAAATGAGATTTTTATTCATTTTTCACGATAGATGTCATGCCAGGTTCAAGCTCACAATATTAGGAACCATCCAAGATCTTGTAATTTTAAAAAAGTTTATCAAGCCCAGCTCAACCCTTAATAATTTGTAAAAGATATTACCAAGTCAGGTGCAAGCTAATATTAATTTTGATGTTCCAAGCCCAGTCCTACCCATTATAATTTTGTAAATTTTTTCCCGCCTCGGAGATAATTAAATTTTTAATTGATTTATCATCACATGAAGAGGAAATATCTGATTTACCAACTAGTCTAATATGAAAAAAAATACATATTCCGTATTAAGGGAAACTGGGAAGCCCTGGGCAAACCACTTATTAGAGATGACAAATAAAATAAAAATAACCGACTCTTATACTTTTTTGTAATATGATCAATTAAAATTATATCTAAAAAATAAATTGTTGTTTATTATATAGGGTTATTGTTGTTTTCAGATAAATTTAATGTATATCTTGCATTTCTGAAATTATTTGTCAAAGAATTTGATAAGGGATATATATATTTTTATGTTAAGTAAAAAAAATGATATCTATTTAAATTACAAAAATGCCATTAAACACTAATGAAACTTATATGCAAATTATTTATATATTTTTTAAGATATTTTTTTTTATTGACATATAAATTTAGGATAATTTTAAAAAAAAATAATGAGGATTAATTATTATGTATTTGATAAAATTAAGAGCAAATCCTTGTTGACATTTTAATTTTTGTGGAAAAAGCGACAAAATAAATCTGGGCGGTCGTCTGGAGAGGAAATAATTAATGTATAATTTTATATCATTTAGGGTTGTAGATGAAAGTAATGACGGATTAACAAAGCAGTGTACAAAACACATTACGTCCTGATAAAGATGATATGCCTATGCCTTGGAATACTGGTAAAAGAAGAACTCAAAACGATATTTCTGTCAATGTCAGCATTGGTATCCCCCTCTAAAATAGAATCATGAACGACAATGTTAACTCAACCATAAAACGGTCGTAAATATTCTTATAAAGGCCACGACAGAACTACTGCATATTTTTCCATTAATAAAGTTGATGAAATTGGCCGTACTGTACATTCAAGTTTGAACATTCCTCTAAATATTCATGAAAGTTTTTTAGAGAATCGGATAAAGTAATATTTATATTAACTCCTAGTGAAGTGAATGATAGTATGGAATTAAATGCTTATATTTGTTAAAAAGTAGGCAGAGGTGGCGTAGGGATTGTGGTAGTGGTGATAAAAATATTATTTGGAGAACTGGGTGAAAATAAAATATACATAGATATAAATCATAAGATACAAAAAACAAAATAAACCTCCAGATGAGTTCATTTCAAGGGTAGTTCTTTATTATTTTGTCTACCAGTAACTCTAGAATGGGTAAGACGTTTGTTTAATCGTCATTATTTTCTTTGCTTATCATTAATAATAGATTCATCATGTTTTGTAGCAATGTGAGGGATTAGGGTTAGCCTAGACAAATAAAGAAATCAGGCAAAAATATAAATAAACTATTGTTGAAATTAAACAAACATTAAAATAATGTAAACCAGTAGATAGGTCAATATTAGATGCATATTTCTAGTAGTTGGAGGGCTATCATCAAAAAAAATTTTTGGGGGACTTATCAAGCCTATAATGATATTCTAAAGGTTTATTACCGAGTTGATAAATATATATTTTAATAGTAGGGTAAGAATTAGAAATTTATATTTAGTAAGAAAAAAAAGGTGTTATTAAAAATATGTATATAAGAAAGAAATAAGTAATAGTGATATAGGTAATAGAAGTAGACTAAAAGGAAAAAATTGGTAATTTGAGAAAAATTTTTAGATTAAATTGAGAAAAATTAAGATTTGGTATTTGAAAAAGATAGCAGACGATTTGATAAATTGATAGAAGAGAAGGGAAAAAGCTGACAATTTAGTTTAAGGTTAAAAAATAACATGATGAATGTAATGTTATTAAGGTTAATTAATTGTAAGGTAATTAAAAAATAAGACTAAAAAAGGGGGGGGGGAAGAAGGTATAAATTATTATATTATAAAAATTAAAGGAATTGATAAGGATTTGAGAAGTAGTGGTTAATAAATAATAGAGATAGGAAGAAAAGAATGAGATAATAAAATTTAGTGATAAATAAATTCACAAATAAATTCACTAAGGGAGGGGAAAAAATAAAGTAAGAGTTATCTATAAGGATGGGAGATTATAAGTAGGTTAGGATAAGAATATTTAAATATACTTGGTTATCTTCTTATTTATTGGTTATGAAAGAAAAACATGAGTATAAAAAATTGTGATGTAAGTACTGACAAAAATTGTGAGTATGTTCAAAATAAATATATAAGTTGAGTATCTTGTAGAGGAAAATTACATTGTGTAATTGATGACATTGAAATTTGAATTATTTTTTTATTCACATCATTTATTTCATTCATATTCAGAAAGTTGAGGGAATATTGTTTTTATCAATTTAACATCATCCATTTTTCCGCAGACGATTTTTCCAGTCCAAAAATATTTCCATCTGTTTGTATAAAATAAATAAATAAAATCAACAAATAAAAAAAATAAATACGTACCGATGACATGACGTAGTGAGGACATCGGAAAATTATAATATAGATAATTTAGGTATATAAATTGATTTATACTACAACAATGCGTTTATCGATTTTACATAAAATCCATTTAAGGCTGGACCTCTACCGTATTTTGAATTGCAAATCAAAAAGCAATTACATTTAAAAAAAAATATGCTAAGATATTTTGATTCCAGTTAAAAGACTCCGTATTTAGATATAATTGATTTTTTAATTTACAGCTAGCCTAATATTGTATGAATAAACCATTATATTTTATAAAGGGCCTTTGTTGTGTGTAAAAAACTAATTAGATTAATTAAAACTCATTTTTTCTCAAAATCTTTCTGAACCTATAACTGATAAAATCGTAATCACATCATAAATCCTATTAATCATGATTATAATATTTTTCAAACAGCTTTTAAAATAAAGTAGGGGTAATATTATTAAACACCTTCCCAAAGGTTGCACCAATCTGATATTACAATTCAACTAAACCAATGATTTTAATAACATCAAATTATGGGATAATTTGTTAAAATTTTCTCTAGCGATGTAACTCGAAATTTCTCTGAAATGTAATATGAAGAAAGCTTGGACGTTTGTAAGAAATGAACTTATTGAATACATTTGGGTGTGCAGCTCATGAACTTAATTTTCCTTTAAAGCATATGACAAATAAAATAATTACAATTCAAATGTTATTAAGCAAGCCAAAAGTATTATAAAATATATACCCAACAATAAAAACAATGATTTCTTCCTTATCGAGGTTATAAGATGATAGTTTTCGCTTAAAAAATTGGTTTAGTCTTTTTAGAGTTGGCCCAAAATCTATTAAAAATGGAGCTATTTATCACCACTACTTGGTAGTGAAACCCACTTTATAAGAAGCGGCGGCTACTTATAAAAATTTATATTAAAATATTCAAAATAAAATAAGGATAAAAGGTTTTAAGGATAAAAGGTATTCAAATGTAACACTTTTGAATGAATTATATTTTGATAGGGGAATTGACATTGATCCCCTCGATAAAATTTACGACAATACATACCTTGGTCTAGTGAATTCTTATTCCTTAGGCAGAATATACAGTTAAATATTTTTGTAATATTGTTCCTTTTTAGGAACACAATTGTGTTTTTCTTTGATATGTAAATTTTATTTTTTAGGTATATAAATTACAATAAATAAAATTTTAGAAATATAAATACAATTTTGGTAAGTAAAAAAATATATATTATTAAAAGTAAAATATGAATATAACTTACATAGTTAGGAGAGACCGGGGCAAAGCCATTGAATGGGTAACAGTTAATGCAAATAACTTTTAACTCTTGAGCATAAAAACCTTAATTTTATGTGATGTGTTTTTTTTCAGAAAAATTATATCTCTTCCACATCGCGATTTAGTACGTAGGTTCGATTATTCAAAAATATAAAAGTTCACCCCAGTGCAACAATTTTGTTCACTCCTAGTTGATACTTAAAAATGATAGAGAGCTAGCCTTTGTTTCATTTTGTAACTTAGAGATTTGACTACAAATAATAATCTATATTTATGATTCAAAATTTTATGATAAAAATACAAAATACCAATCACTTCACCCCTGTCTCCCCTACCAATTGTATCCATGCACAATAAAAATCACAGATGATTTATTTAGCCTAATTGGTAATGGCATATAAATGACAGATTATTCACGAAAATTAGACCAAATTTATATGTTTATATTATTTTAAAATAATTCATATCAAGTAACAAAATTAATAGCGAAAACAAATACAACGAGTTATCTATCGTTAGCTAAAGAAAAATGTTCACAATATTCATATATCCAGAAAAGACATTATCAAACGCCATGGAAATAAAACATAAAGATAACATTATTTTATTTCTTAAATAAAAAAAAAAATTTTAAAGTAAGTCTTGATTAACTGAGCAACTGTCTAATCTAGGTCTATGTCTGTAAAAGTGGAATTTTACCTAGTATTTTGTAACCAATTCTATATAATAGAGGAATATCAACTATATGTCTACTTACTTTTTATAAATAAATTTCTTATACTTGTTTGGAATAAATTATTATGCTTTTATATTAATGTATATAAAAGTAATTTATAATATTTTATATCTTGTTATGTGTATCGTATTAGCGTGGAGTCATTTTGTAAAATAAGCAGTATTCTGTGATTAATATTCTTTTTTCCGCATTCATTCTTTTAATTTTTATTTGTGATTAATATTTTTTGTTTTTTTTGCGCATTCATTCTTGTGATATATTATTAAAAAAATTGCTATTTTTAAATTAAAAAAATTGCTATTTTTAAATTAAAAAAATTGCTATTTTTAAATTAAAAAAATTATTTTTTTTTGTTTATTATTATGCATTAATTAAATAGATATTTATATATAGAAAAAAAAAGAATTTATATTATTATTAATTTTTTTTTATATTTTGAAAAAAAGTAAAAATAGAAATGAAGATTATTAGGATTTTTTTTATATTTTGGAAAAAAAATAGAAATAAAATATTGTTTCAAAGGAAAGAAAAATATAAGTACCAATATAATAAGCAGAAAAAAAGAAAAGGTGAAACTTTATTAGTGGTGGCCAAGACGAGTCTCGAACCAGCGACCTTCGCGTTATCAGCACGACGCTCGTATTATTATCAGGTTTCTGACCCAGAAATTAATCAAAGGCCATAAGGGCAGGTTTGCATTAGAGCAAATTCCAGAGATTAATAAAAGGCCATAAGGGCAGGTTTGCATTAGAGCAAATTCCAGAGATTATAAAAGGCCATAAGGGCAGGTTTGCATTAGAGCAAATTCCAGAGATTAATCAAAGGCCATAAGGGCAGGTTTGCATTAGAGCAAATTCCAGAGATTAATCAAAGGCCATAAGGGCAGGTTTGCATTAGAGCAAATTCCAGAGATTAATCAAAGGCCATAAGGGCAGGTTTGCATTAGAGCAAATTCCAGGGATTAATCAGAGCAGATTCGAGGGATTTAGTACACAAATAGAGGCGAGTTACACGGAAGTGCGTCAAAATTTTTACGTGTACAATTCTATTAGACGAATTTACCCAAATTTTTATTGAAAAGCCAGTTACACGGAAGTGCTGCCCAAATTTTTACGCATATAAATCAATTGGACGTAATTCGTAGTGAAAAGGTTAATTTATATTTTTAAATATGTGGATGTATATGTGCATCATTGGCTTATTTACGTTACTTCTTACTTGTTGACATTGCAAGTAACCAAGATTTTTATTTTGAAATTAATTATAAATTTTTTATAACGTTGAGATAAAGAGTTTAAAATTTGTTAAATACTGGGAGATACAATACAATATTTTTGGTGCGTTGGTTATACTATTAATATGGGTATGTAGTTTAGTTTGGGGCAGGAGAATGAGAAGAAGTCGCAGCGTAAGATTAAAAGGACAAACATTAACCATTGAGG